TTTGACTACAAGTTTGGGTTACCATGGTGACATGCGTAGATGTAGTCTAAGAGTATTCCAGGGACCATCAGCATGATGGGGGGAACTGACTGTTTATGTGGAGCTGAACAGGTTGAAAAGTGGACACCCTGCCATGGACCTCTGACAGGATCTAACCCTAAACTCCCAATCTCCTTGGAAGGAGCAATAGAAAACAATAAGAATGGAATATTTTCTCTGGTGGGTGGCTTTCTGTTGTTGTTACTGCAGACTGAACTCGGAGCCTTTGTACTAAACTATAACCTCAGTCTTTTTTATTTTAAGACAGGGTTGTGCTAAGTCACTAAGTTGCCCAAGTTGGGCCTGAACTTGTGATTCCCTTGCCTCCGCTCCCCAGAGTGCTGATTACAGGCCTGTGCTATGAGGCCTAACAGGTGGCTTTTGTTAAACACAATAGTCATGTTAACAATTTCTATTGAGGACAGTATTAGTACCTAATTTTCAGTTTTGATTGATAAAAAGGTAGTCATTTAACATAATCTAGCTTATAAACACTTAAGCACAAATTCTATTTTCCTACCTAACAGTAAACTTCACTACTGAACTTTGATTTTTCTCCCTTCCCTCTTAACACACTGCGAAATTATAAAAAGGAGTAATAAAAATGTTTTTCTCTCCCTTCTTTCTGTGTATCAATATGGAGACTGGACTGATGGCAAATAATGACAGTGACTGTGACAGCTACAGGCAGTCTTCATCTGATGTCTGCAGAGATGGGAACAGGTCACTTACTAATATGCACTTACTAATATCTTTTTACCATGAAACAGGAACCACTGCTTCTGTTTCAGTTTTGGTGGTAGGTTTCTGACTATTAGAATAACGAGACCACTAAAATTTATTGGGGCCCTAAGGACATTTTCAAAGGATCCTTACCCTCTACAATCTCTTCTTTAAAGCCTGTGCTGCATAAAATGTAATTTTTATCAATAACCAAGAAGCTCATAATATCACAGCTGCATCGAAATCTTCATGCTGTGAAATCTAATTCGTCCAATACACGAATCCATCACTTACACACACCCTCTCTCAAATGCTATAAAACTTCCAAACCCATAGATTTGTCTCCAACAAAAATAACATGAAGGGGCTTTTCAATCAATAATGGAATCCCTCTGATTCTGGAACTGGCTGAATATTTTTTTCCAACTTTGCCTTTGTTCTTCTGGGTAGAGCCCACAAGGGAAAAAGCTTGTTTTCACTCGCAGCCTCATCAATACCTAAATCCTGGTGAACAAGTGACACCGAGAAGTTGTAATCAATAGCTCCCTGTGCGTTTTTTTCTTCTGGTCAAATGGTTCAGCTCCACTGACAACCCTGACACTTAGAACATGATGCTAAATCTTTATCAACAGCCATCTGGGTGACTGGCAGAACAAGACTCGGGGGGTCATCAACGCTCAGGGCAATCTGAGAATAAACTAACTCCTCAGGAATGTGTTTGTTTAGAAAAAGGTGGGAAACTCTCCATGCATGCATTGATTGACTCTGAAATGCATTTAGCAAATTCTGTCTGAGGATGAAGTAGAAGGGGGCTTTGTGGGGTGGGGGTTTTGAGGAGTTTTCAACTCTAGTTTTCAACTAGAATACTAACCATCCTCTCCTTCTGGGTGGGGCACAAACTTTCAGAGGGCTGCTTGATCACCCGATGGGGCTGGTGAGTCCTGCTTAGAAAACTTGGAAGAAAACAAGTTCTAGGATGGTAGAGACTCCCACACCGCAAAACCCATTCCCTACTCTGGGAAAGAAGGGGACAAATGTATACTTACAACCAGTGCTGTGATGGAAACAGCATATGGTCATGTTCATTATGGCACCTAAGGAGTTAGTACAGCATGGTGTTTATGGTATTTGTAGCATTCTGAACCCATTTTTTCATCTTTGCTCTCTTAAATCCACAATTGTTCTGCTCAGCCTGAATGTGAGAGGTGTTTTCTGAGCCCATCTCAACTTGCCATCACTGGAGTGGGGTGATGATTAGAGTTCTCCAGCTGGAGCTTTCTGCCAGTACTGCTGAGAGACACCCACCAAAGATAGGGATGCCAGGCAGAGCCCATTGTGACCCAGTACCCTTTTTCCCTCAAGCCCCTGTTCGCCTTCTGACTCTCCTAGCCCACTCAAAGTTGGGGATCTTGGTGGGGACTCATCATCCTGAGTGACTGTACAACGTACAGCTGCATGTTATTTAGTGAATGTTTTGGGCACGTTTTGTGTGAATATATGGCAGCTCTGGGTACCACAGCAACATTCTGCTCAGGCTGAAGGTCCCAGCATGAGTCGAAGGCCACAGAAAGGCCACAGAAGAGACACAGCAGCACCTAGGCAGCCCTTGACACAAGAGAGGTAAGGATGCTGAGAGGGAGACAACTGCCTATGGAACCTTCCTTCTGATTCTGTTGTCACCTCTATTCTGGGATGTCTATAGGTACACATTAGGCATTAAGAGTTTTAAACTCTGTAATTCTTTTTTTTTTTTTTTTTTTTTTTACAAATTTAGGTGACTGAGGCTGTATCTGAACAGAGACATTCGTAGAGATTAATAGGAGAAAGAATCACACTGGTTTGCAGAACAATAAATTTTCCTCATTATTGCCATGAGCAGGTCACTAACTAGTGATGATGGCATTTCCACTGCACAGTAAGTAGAAACTTCTGGTATCACAAAAGGCAGGTGGAGGTGTTTATTAACTTGTGCATGTCAGTCAGTGGAGCAGGTTTTTACAGCAGAAGTAGCAAGCTGCACATATTGAGGAAGCAAGTGGTATTGGTGCCCATGGATGGGGCAGCTTCCATCTCCATGTGCACACACAGGGAGCCATGGACAAAGTTAAATGGCTTCATTCCCATTTTAACTGACTGGCCACATAAAATTGTATATGTGCTTTGTAGCCTGCTGCAGGAATGACCAGAGGAACATATGACCACCTTCTCTACTTTTACCTCTGGAGACGCCAACCTCAGTGAAGAGAAAGACCAACTCCACCCTAAGGGCATGAAGAGGAGAAGCACTGCCTGAAAGAGCAGCTACAACGATGTAGAAGGAGAGTGGAAACAATGTTAGCTGCCAGTGTTCTTGTGGGGTATTAAATACAGCCACAGCATGACAACATTTGGGCTGCCTCTTCATCTGTAGCAAAACCAAATGCCACAAAGTTGAATTATGACCTGGGAGAGAATGGTAGCCTTCCAAAGGGAAGATGGAGATCATCTTGGTGGGAGACATCAAAAACCATTTTCAGAAATTGGACTTGGAAGCATTCCACAGGCACTGTAAAAATTCGTGGAAGGCATCTCTGTCGATAGTGAACACCGCAATTAATATACAACAGGTGCAAAAGGAAACACTGAGTGCCACTCGGTACTGTTACCTAAACCCAGGACAGGAGTTAGGGAGTGAGTATGGTGTGTGGGCCAGGCTGCATCTGGCTCCAGACAATTTGGTATATTTCCACAAGGCAGACAACTTCCCCGAGGAGGGTACACGTTCAGACAATGCGATCCACCACAAACCCACAGGAGCTGCTTCTTCAAGAATAGCAATGCAGTCTTGTGCAAAAGGCTACGTAATTGCCATCTCCTGGAAACCAGAGGGCTGTGCCCTCGGGCTGCTGCAGTGCGTGGCAGGAGCAGCCGGCTGTGGTGTGAAAACGCCTCTCTCTTGTGAGCGGGGATGAAAATAGTTTTAAAAATACACAGCAAAGCCACAGCAATTTTTTAAAAAGTAGGGTCTATCTGATTTAGTAATTTCCCATCCCATGATACAATGATCACATTTGCTCTCCCTGATAAGATGGCATTCTTCTATCATATTAGAGACTTGCACAGCTTTAGGGAGAAACTGTTACTAACTTGATAGCACACCTTCACCAGGCATGGGAGCAGGGGCTGCGCAGGAGCATTCCAGGGGGCTCTCAGGGCAGTGCAGGCTGTCCCTGTGGGTTGTGTGGGTGCCCTTCTTGCTCACCTACAGGGTTCACGGGCACATGCTGCAGGTGACATCCATGCTCACACATGATGGTGTGGGCCATGACTGAAGAGCCAAGGTACGCACTATGCTGGTGCCACTGCTGGCCACACAGTCCTCAACTCCCCTGTGGGCTGCCCTGTCCTCTGTGAGCCTGGTCAGGCCTTCCTGTGGGCGTTCAGTAAGATCTGACCACAGACTCTTGGAGGGAGAAAGATGCCCTAGAGGGGCTATCCCAGTGAGATAGCCTGTGGATAGAGCATGTTGTCCATGTTGCAGGATCTTAAACTTCCTGTGTTGATGCCCTTGACACCCAGGAAACCTGGGGCCTCAATAACAATGTAGCCCCCAGAGAGAAGAGGTTGCACCATTTTAGGTACTACTTCCTAGAAGGAGTGAGGCAGGTAGGTGGGCTCTTAGTCTATTGGGACTTCTATGGTACCATGGCATTGAGAAGAGTGTTGTCCGCACAACAGGCATCCCACATTCTTGACTGTGCAGTGAGTGACTGAACGAGTGGACAAATGAATGGATCCTCCTTCCTGTCCACTTCTCTAGGCTCCGCACTTTTTCACACTCACTGCCATGATCAGGGGGTCAAGTAGCTGGGGAACAATGGGTTCTATCACAAATGTCTCCTCTCCTCCCCACCCCAGGAGCACAGGCTGGGTCTGAAACATGTTTTCTTTTTTTTTTTTTTTTTTTTGGTACCGGGGATCGAACTCGGGTCCTTGCACTTGCGAGGCAGGCGGCGGAACCACTGAGCTAAATCTCCGGCCCAAATATGATGGCCAGCTGTGTTTTTCTATTATGTTGATCACTGTAGGTTTTTTTTTTTGGTACTGGGGATCGAACTGGGATCCTTGCACTTGCGCAGCAGGCGGCGAAACCACTGAGCTAAATCCCCGGCCCTGAAACATGTTTAATCAAATGACACTTCACCCCCAAGTGCCCACTTGACCTCGGCCAGCCTGACATCCATGCCCTTGGAACTTACGGGATTGTTTCTCATAGCTCCTCCCACTGCACGAGCTGCTTTGGGGTTGCCTGCCAGGGCTGCTAATTGCTGGTAAGAAATCGTTTCTCCAAATTTCACAACCTTCAGCAGCTTCCATAACACCTGTCTGGTGAATGAATCTGAAAGGAAGAATACAGAATGATGTTATTTGGACAAATGGCTCCAACAGCTCTGATATACATAGCTGCCAGTCCCGGAGCAGAAAATGCAATGACACAAATAGAGGTGTTACATTCAATTAAAACAATCTCCATACAGTGACCTGTCACTATGTCACAGGCAAGGAGAAATGGGCAGGAGGCAGGCACAAAGCAGCCAGGCTCCTCAGAAGGCCTCCACGTCTCCATTCTCAGATCTGTAAATTCTTTCCCACCTTTCCATGTTCCATGTGGGACTTCCATGTGATGTTCTTCTGGAAGGTGGGTACGTATGCATTCATGAACAGCTCAATTAACAAGCAGAGAAGTCCCTGCCTGCTCACCTATTTGGAAGCTTTTTGGACTGCTGGTTAATTGCCAACTTCAGCTGGGACACAGAGGGCAAAAGTGGCCAGGGACAGGGCTGAAGTATTACATCAGCCGTGCACATCTAGTAGTGGGCAGGAGAGCTCTCAGCTACTGCTCTGAATGCCAGACACCCTGGTATGTGGCTGGGTAGTGACCTTGGTTACAGGCATTTTTAATGAATAGGGCTGCACAAATAAAATAACTCTTTCCCATTTTTAATTGGACACATCAAATCACATGCGCTCTGCTTCCTGCTATAAGAGTGACTGGGGGACCGTGTGGCCAGTCCCTCCTTCCACCTTTGGGTTTTAGAAATGTTTTCTGGGTGTGAAGCGTGCAGGGCAGAAACCCAGGCACATGAAGGAGGACAGTCTGAATCGATACCTATTGTCTTTCCAGAGGGGACACGTAGCTCGGGAGCACTGGAGACAGACACATCCTCCATCCCAGTGGCTCAAAACACTATGGGGACAAGAGTTTCTGAATGGTGACAGCAAAGGGGAGGACTCAGTGGACAGAAATGATGTTTGGGAGTGTGTTCGTGAGAGCACTCATTACACTTGGTGCCAAGCTGGCAAAGTGTGATTTGGTTCTTAAAGGAAACACACTCTTACATGCATGTTAAATAATAAAAATCACTTCTTAACTGAAGGGTACGATAATCACTTCACTGGGAAAAAAAATCTGTTTAGTCTTTATTATAACATTAAGCAAATTAAACATCAGCATAATCCAGGTGATACTAGAAAGGGGTCATCAAAGAAATTAACTTTGTTGTTCATTAATTTACATGGATTAGTAGAGGGCAAAAAGATAGCAAATGTGCTCTAGTTTTTTGTGATATAATTTCAAACTGTACACCATTTGTGGCAGGAGGGTGACTTTGGGGTTAATCAGACTGATTTGTCCTTTTAATTGCTTTCTATTCAAAGAAAATTCATTAGATAATGTTCTCTTCAAAATTCATGAATCAATTTAACTGAAGAAACCGCATTAACAGCTTTGGGTTCATTAGCACATGCAGTTGTGAGAGGCTGATTGCTGGGAGGGTTTCCTTAGGCAAACAGACTCTGTTTACTGTCTTTCTTCAGAAAGGGGCTTGAAATCACACTGTTAATCATTATTATTGTTACTGTTGTTGTTATGCCTAACTTAAAAAACGAAAAGGGAAGGCGGAGAGAAAGGTAACCTGGTGTCACTTGTAGAAAGGGATTTTAGGGAGACTGTCTTGGGAAAAAAACAGTAGAAGCAGCCCTAGATCCTGCAAGAAGTGAAGGCTGATCCCTGCCCTGCTGGGAGAGCACAAAGTGGTGGCTTGTCTTCTATGCTTTGACCCAGGGAGAGGTGTGGCCACAGTGTTCTGGGAGAATGGCCCAGAACTTTTTAGTAAATCGGTTGGAATATAACAAGGTGGGTAACCCAGCTGGAACAGAGAGTGGTTTGGAGAGATAATGGTACCTCCCCGTGCCATTCACCATGCACTGGCCTAGAGTGCTGCTCTGATGAATGACTGCCATATTAGGGAGCACTTTTCTCTTCAGTTGGAAAAGTATCACATAGTGGAAGATTATATATCTGTATATGAACCAGAGTTTTCCAAACACGTTCAGCTTCAATGTTGTTTTATCACAGAAAACTTTCTTAAATGGTATGCACCAAGCAATATATTGGGTGGTATAGCTCAAAAGATGTGATATTTCACAATCAAGCACATTATTTTACAAATTCTCTGGAAAATTCCATTTCACCCTGTAGGAAACAAATGCTTTAGTTAAAGTAGTTCTCAAAGATGGTGCCTTTGACTCCAAACTGTCCACAATCAGATAGCTGTACTGTCCCTATTTACCAGTAGGAGACCCGTAATTTCTCGTGGTAAATATCTTTCTAAAATGTAGGAAAATCTAGCAGTAAAAACCAAAACATGTTAATGTGGAAAATACAATTTCTGGAGGTTGAAATCATCACTCAAGTCCTCAGTGGCCAGCTCAGTCACTTTGGGTGGCCCAAAGGGAAACCACTAACATACCATCCTTCTCTAGCATGGATGTCCCTGAGAGCGGGCCCACGACCCTGTGCTGTGGGAGTGGCCTCTGCACTCCTCCTTCTGGTACTCCTTTCCTTCATGGCTCTCCTCCTGGTTTGATCCTAGAGATACCCTTTCTCAAGTCTCTTCGGGGGGCCCCAGGTACCCTGGCTATGTTGGCGTGGTTGTGGTCAAAATAAGCTCTGCTGGAGGCTGATCTGTGTCTCAGAGTTTACTTGTCTGAAGGCCATGGCTGTTTTTATTTCGGCTTGGCTGGCTACTTTAACACATGCACTACAACCACCTAACTGAAAAAGGCTTCTACATTCTCTTTCTACCTAGATGGTATGTCATTAGTCAGGAGGCAGGATGCTGTGTCGTAATGCTGGCCTCAGGGTAAGCTGTGCTGAGTAATGGACAGCAGGTTCTCATGCATGTGAAGTGGGGAGGTGAGCAGGGACCTGAAGAGGGCAGGCAGTCTTCACTGTGTACCTGGATGACATAGTCAGACTGGCTCTGAAAAGGCAGACGGCACATGTTAGGGACATGGGAGGAATCAGTCAAGGAGCAGCCTGACTCTGCTCTGCTGATCTCAGGTGAGTCTCTTCCTTGTCCTGGCTGCTATGAACATCATCACAAGAGCTCCCTCAACATGTCGTGTGCCCCCAGTGCACATGGCTGGGCATGGAGTGTACTGTCAGGGGCAGGGCTGGACTGGAAGCCAGCTCCCTCTCACACCAGGGCTCAGACTCAATCACAGTGGACACATTCTCTGTGTGCCTCAACACTGCATTTCCAAGTACTTGTCAAAGAGTCTTTCCCTCAACCACCATAGTCCCTTTGCAGAGGGGTGCAGATCCCCAAGAAGGGGCTGTCCTTCAGCAGTCCAGTCCCTGGGGCTCTGCCTTGGCCAAGGTGCAGCGAGGAAGACAGACTCAGGCAGATAGCCCAGTGGCTGTGGAGTATATAATATGTTTACATTTATCATTGGGTGTTTGTACCTGTACATGATGTATCTTGGTTCTTATTTTTTTCCCTATATCCTGTCCTCCCTTCACCACCTCCACCCTTCCCTATTTACAAAGACTTTGTTTCCATTTTTTCCTTTTCTCGTAATTTTTCCTTTCCCTTCTTTCCTTTCCCATTCCCCTCCCACCACCCCTACCCCTTTGGACCTTTTCTTTTTATTTCAAATTATCAATTATTCATTTTAATCATTTTAATCCTTATTTACACTTTCAGTTTCTCACACAAGAAAAACTATTTGGTATTTACACATGTGTGTCCTATTTATTTCACTTAAGAGTATCGCCTCAATATGTATCCCTTTGGCTATAAATGTCTCTAGTTTCTCATTCTTTATGGCTGAGTAGTACTCCATTTTATAAAAAAACCACATCTTCTTTATCCAGTTTCCAGTTGATGGGCACTTGGGCTATTTCCAAGCTTTAGAGGAGAAAACTTTTGCAACAAATAAAAAGATACAAAGTGTCAGTAAAAAAATAGGAGGTCTAATGAATAATCAAGTGGAAAGTTTTGTAGTGAAAAATAAACCAAATTACAAATTGCTCTTCATGGGATTAATACCAAAATGGAGATGCCAGCGATAATAGTTAATGAGCTGCAGACAAGCCAAGGTAAACTATCCAAACTGAAGAAAGAAAAAATGTATTTAAAACAAACAAAAGACCAAGAAGAATCTTGGGTATGTGTGGAACAGAGGTAGAAGGAAGCTGTCTTAGTTATTTTCCTTGTCACTGAGACACAGTACCTGACACTCACAAGTTAAAGGAGGAAAGGCTTAGTTTGGGTCACAGTTTGTAGAGATTTTAGTCCATAGTCAGCTGGCTCCAAGACAGGAAGGCATGGCAAAGGAAAAGTTATTCACCTCATGGCAGCTGGAAAACAGAATCAAGGGAAGAGCTGGGAAGGGAGATACGCTCTTCCAGGTTATGTCCACAGTGCCCACCTCTTCTGACCAGATCCCACCTCCTAAAATAAGCCAGCCATTCTGCCCTCATAATCCAATCATTTTCCAAACACATAAGGCTTTGGGGGCCATGTTAGATCTAAACTATAACAGAAGCAGAGCAGCACTTCTGATGTGCTGGGAGAAGAGAATTGCCAACTCAGAATTCTATACACAACCTAGAAAATCTTCCAAGAATGGGGCCAACAAAAAGACACCTCCTGATTTAAAAAAACAAAAACAAAAGCCAAAAAGCTGAGGTATTAAGCTGTTGGTAGTCCTGATCTTCAAAATGACTAACAGAAGCTCTTTAGAAAGGAGATTTGACTGTGAAAATAAGTATAAATTCCGATGGCAATTGGTAGAAAACTATATTAAAAAAAAGAGATGTACTAAAAAACAACACAAAAATGAAAGTGAAATAATGAAGCAATATTAAAACAGCCCAAAAGGAAGAAGGAAAGGGGACCCAGAGAAATAAAGGGAAGAAACAGAAAACAAACAATAAAATGCTAGTCTAAAGCCCTTCCCCATTTACAAAAGTTTTGTTTCCATTTTTTCCTTCCATTTTCTTTTCCCTTTCTTCTCTTCCCCTCCCCCCCTTTCTTGTTCTTCTTTCCA